AAAAGCTTTATTTTGACTTTTATTATTAGTTGATATAAAATTTTAAAAATGTTGGAGATTTGAAATCTTTAACTTCAGAATCTTCTGAGACGTAAAATGTAATTCAAAGCTTTAAAAATTAATTTAAGATGCATTTGGTGATACAACAAAATTATCAGCTCAAAAAATCAGAACAATAATTTTTGTTTGTAAATTTTCCATCCTCTTAAAAAATTGCTTGAGGTTACACCATGAAACTCTGTTTGTGTAAGTATGTAAATGACAGAATATGGATTTTTATCCTTTCCGTGTATAATCGTTAAATATGTACATAAATATTAATACACATGTTATAGACATGATTAAAACCTAAATGTTAATTCATTCAGAAAATAACTGGATCAATATAATTAATTATCATCAAAAGAAGAAAGAGACATTAATTCTATTTTTAGTTGTGATTATCATACGATTTATTATTAGGGCCTCATAAAGTTGTAACATTTTGTGATTATGCAAAAGAAAAACTTTTATTGGGCAATCTCAAATGTTATTTACTTAATATTTTTATCGATTTTATGTAAAGTTTTGTAAGATAAAAGATTTATTAGTTTTATGAATATAACCTTTTTTTTTTTAAGGAAAGGTTTTAAATTTTTAAAAAAATCTCAAAATTTATTCTTTTTCTTGAATTATTATTATCATCTTCTCAATATCACTTACTTATCACTCGGGATTTGTAATGAAAACTTTTCCATTTTAACATGCGGCGAAAATAAATGAAAATGATTTTAACGAAGAAAATGAATGAATGAAAAAAATTATATATAAGTGAGGGTTCATACTTTAATAGCCATAAATTATTCCGCTACAAGAGGCCTCTCTTCATTCTTAAGTCAATTTGGTACGACATCATTAAATTACATTTGAAGAGAAGGAAATAAAAAAGTTTTCAATATAAACTTCGCAAAAGTTCTTCAATAAAAGAGGGGAAGAAAGGACGAGAATGAAATTATTACGAGACAAATTTTGCAATTTTCCAATTAAGTTTTTGCTTCGACATGATTCTAATTAATTAGAGTTGAGATTGAATTTTATAATATTTGGCTTACGTTTTTTTCTTCAAACTTTTTGGTTAAATTGAAAAGCTTTCCTGAAATTAATTAATTAAATTATCTTCAAAAAATAAATCCTTTGACAATAAACTTTAATGAATTGGTAACATTCTATTTTGTATTAATATTAATCAAAATATACAAGCACAAGCCTTTCGAAACTTGAGTATTCTTATTATTTTAAAGCTCTAGCTTTAATTTTTTTCTTTAAAAGAATATTCTAGCGCAAAAATAATCCAAATAAAAATGATTGAAGCATGAACACTAATGGGACATGAGGTTTTAATTGTATTAAGCAATTATTTTGCTTTCGCAAATCTTCAGACATCATATGAAAAGTTAAATCCAGGATATCAACATGAAGAAAAAAAAACTTCTCCCAAAATAATCAAAATTTAGGTCAAAGCTTTAAAAAAAATTTCCATTGGCAGACGAGAAATGTATACGAGTTCCAGCATCGCGTGATAATAAAATTATCATCTTAATTATCAAAGGCTCTAGATTTTTATTAACTTTCTCTATTTTTCTCTCCACCGCTTTACGGGACTTACAAAAAGGAAAATTTTTCCTCAGTTTGTGCGAAGAAATATGAGAAGAATTAAGTTGAATGGCAGATGGAAATTAATTCAATACTTGTTGTGGCACAAAAGAGTAGAGAAGTTAACAAGCCAAAAATAAGAAATGTCTTGAGGGTCTCCAGAAAGTGAATAGTGAATATATGAAATAGATACATCTTGAAGTTAGTTTGATATTTTTGTGTTAAGATCCTAAAAGATATGATAAAAGCTATGTTAAGAGATTTGCCATACATATAAATTAAGAAATATATATTCTCTGGCTTTTTCATTAGCAATAATATTCCATCGTATCACGTAAGATTATGGGAATAGATAACGCATATTGAATGAGAGTAAGCAAAAAGTAATGTTGAAAGTTCATAAGATAAGTTTGAAAAAAAAATTGATCAAAAACGCACTTATTTCATTTGATTTAATTCTTCACCAAACGTTATTCAGTAAGGAAGTTTTGAAGCCGGGACAGAAACTAAATCTTCACTAAAATAAAGTCATGAAAATTTCAACAATCCATGATCTAACTCTTTTCCAATAATCCGAGCTAAAAATAAGAAAATACGCATGAGAAACATTAATAAAAGCCCAGTAAAAGGCCATGAAAAATTTATACTTGGCCATTACATTATTGATATGTCGGCTTATTGAAGAAAAATTTCTAATACTTTTTTTATCCCGCTTCTAAATTGCACCATTTTTGCTCCCTTTCAATGAAAATTTCTTGACATTTTATTTGAAATTGATGGCAACCATGAAAAAGAGGAATAAATTTTCAATACAAAATTGTTGAATTGAAAAGAGAGGAAAGGCGAATTGGCAATATTCTTTAAAGCTGTTTAGAAGGATTTACATTTTGGATGTTGAAAAAACTTCCGTAATTTCATTTTATAAAGCTTTTTAAGAAGAGAATTAAATCTTTTTTACCCCTCATTTTTCATACAACTTCTTTCAATTTACTAAACGAAGGGGTTCTAATAAAATTGAGTTTTCGGAGTATTCTCAAAAATTCTTGCAGTCATCAATATTCTAAGAGGTTTTTTTGAATTCCAAAGCTCAATATAAAATAAAATATCCGAGTTAAATAAACCAGTGATATTTTATTAAAAGAGTCTATAAATTCATTTGATATGAATTTTTTGATTCTTTTTTAAATGAGAAAAGGAATTATGAAATTCTTTAAAACCCAAATTAGATTGAAATTGTAAGATCCTTAATTGATTATAATTTTTTAAATTTTTTATAATTTTAGGTTGATAAATAAATAAAACCACTTTTTAGGACAAAAGTTTTAATTTGCAATTTAAAGTTTTATAACTTTTAAGATCCCAAACTTAGAAGGGAAATTATAATCAATTAGCATGCATGAACCGATTTAAAATATCTTGATGAAGATATCTACAAGTTTTAATTAAGTTTTGAACAACACAAATGAAAAAATTGAAAAATTTATTCATAAAAAGTGAAGGAAAAAGTAAAGTTTATTGATTTAACTTTAAACTTTTAAAGTCGCATAATTTTGTTCATAAATGACGACTTGAATATAACTCAGTGATTTTTAGAGTTTGGTTTATTAATCACAGTTATTTCTTCTTTTTATCAGAAATTGAGTGATGAGATTTTTTTCAAAATTTTTAAAGCTTTTGGAGTATCAAATTAGAAAGTTTGCTGACCACTAGTTCCAGGAATTTTAGGTCTGTGTAATTCATGAAAAATATAAATTTTTGATGGACTTAATTTTTAAAGGCACCAATAGTCAGTTGTGGGACAGTCTTAATTATAATTTTAAATACAAATTTAGTTTAACAGAAATTACGGGATCAAAACCCCTAATTTGTAATAACAAAGTCAGCGAAATTACAAAAAGTAAACTCATTTTTCATATTGAATTGTAATTTAAAGCTTTATGAAAATTCAAACAACGGAAATTTCACCAATAAAAAATATATTTTGTCAGATTTAATTATATCCTTCCTGACAAAAGATAGGATTTCTTAATTTTTCCAACTCGATTCAAACTAGTCACTATTTAACTCGATACTTTTATTCTTATGATATTATACCTTTTACTTCACTTCAATACAATGAACTTTAGTTCAATTTTCACAGCTGACGATGTTCTAGATTTTTCACATTATCCTCTTCGTTTCACATCACTTTGAGCACTCTTTTCTAGTAGAAGTAAGATGCATGCTTTGTTAAAATACTACATATGAGAATAAATTCTCAATAATAGATGAACAAGGGATGGCAAGATTTCAGAAAACGGAAAAGATTATGATACAAAATAAAAAGATTAATGTAATAAGATTAGCATGTGTCTTTTTCTCAGCTGTGTAAGATTGAATGTTCCAATTGAAAAAATAGCTAAAGAATAGCTTGATTTTTGCATGAACTAGAAGCTTAATTTGTCTTTTTCGTTGTTCAACTGACGGAAAATTATTCAATGATTTTAATTTCATGATCTTCTTCTAAAAGACATGATTTATTATGTTCTATCCTTGTTCATTCAAAAGAACCCTTGTCCTTTCAAATTTATAATATAAAGATAAAAAAGCAAACTCATTGTGATAATAAAATTTGATTTAAGAAATTTAACGCCCAATTTAATTATTTATGCCTCCCAGGTGATAATGCAAAAATTTTTTATTAAAAATAAAACTTACTTCCGAGAAGGTTTCTTATTTAAATAATGCAAATTGGACAGATAGATATTTCTTGAATAATTTTACTCTCTCCATATAAATTTATAAACTATAAATTTTAAATGTGATTTATTTTCAGTGCGCTTTTAAGCCATCAACCTCCATCAACATAATTAATTTCACTAAAAGTTTAAAAGTGATTTTAAAATGAAATGAAGAAAAGTTTTGCATTTGCGTTTAAGGAATTCATTTTTAAGACTTAAGACTTGTTTCATGCAACTGTCAAAAGTTGGTTCTTCCGTTTTACAATGGGATATAATGTAATTAAATGTTTCATCATCATAAAAGAAAAATCATAGTCTTAAAAATTTTTGGTCACTTAAGACAAAAAAGTTTAAATTCATTTTTTACAAGTTCTAAACTTACTCGAGGAATTAATAAGTACGTTCTGAGGTTCATTAACTTATGATATTTACGAGACGCGATGGAATAAAATGAGATGGTAAATTTTCTTGGAAACTAGCTTAAAACTAAAGTATTTACACGTGGAATTTATTCTAAATCACTCAAAACCCCAAGCATATGCCCAAGCACATGTCTTGCCATTAGCGAAAAAATCAATTACTTAGAACTTAATTGAAATGTACTTTAAATAAAGTATTAAAGCTTAAATAAAATACATATTTCATTACCGAGTTCTCGTACAAGTCCATCCATTTACTATCAATATCCGTGTCATCAGTTGCATCCATTTTTAATTGAAGATTAATTTTGTTTTAGTTCCTATATTGAATTTTATTTTGTTGTTGTGCATGGAAAAGTTGTTGCTGAATTTTTTATCTATTCTATTGCATTCACATTAAACATGGATTTATCACTACACTGGTTTTTCACCAAAATTAAATTAATTCAATTTAACCACTGAATAATCCATTTCATTATGATCGATTTATTTTTTGATATGTGATAAAAAAATTTATTTGGAATTAATTGAAGCCATCGGCTCTTTAAAACTTTTCACTAAATTTGAATTTATTTCAAATATTGGATTTTTGGATTTAGTTTTTGAGCACATTTTTTTGGAGTTTAAATAATTTTTGGATTTTGATTTTTCTTTTTAATTTTTTTCTTAAACTTATTTTTGGACATTCTCACTACTTTAGGGATCCTAATAATGATTGCGAAATATTTGTTTTAAGTAATCTCCATCAATATAATCCGCTGTTACTGTTTTCGACTTATCGACTAATTTTAGCCACTTGATTAAAAACATTTTTCTGGCAGCTCTTCAATTCTCTTAAGCACCTCCTTAATAACACGAATATGATTGATTGTTCCAAATCTCATTCAAGGAGATTTACTTATCTTTATGAACTGCTACTAATTTATTTCCTCTCATTTTGACCAATCATTCAATTATATTTTCATCCATCTTTTATTAATAAATGACCACAATATTATTTTTTTCTACACTTTTTCATTTCTTTTTCTCTAACTCATATTTAAGAATTTATTTTATATTTATCAGAAGCACGTGCAATTCACTTGACGGTCGCGATGATTTTGAAAATCGCTTCCTGACCCCGAAAACGATTTACTACTATTCGATTGTCGCATGTTCTACAAAAATAAATTCTAACAGGATTTTTTTATAACAGTCAATTTCCCCTAGCTGCAGTCCATTCAGATGTGTCGGTGGATGCATTTTTGGAAAATGCAAGTGGAAACATGAAATGCAAGCATATTGGAAAGAAATGTTGACAAAATTCCAGCCTCTCTTTTCCATTGTGAAAGCTTCTCTCGAACTTTTTTTCTCTCTCATTTACAAATCATCCTCACACGCCACATGACATGTACATGGAAAAAGTTGCTCTGATTTTATTTCCTTTCAAACAGTCATGGCAATATGCCAACTGTTTTTAGGTTCTTACTTTTTTTCATAAAATACTACATAAAATTATCCATAATAGAAGGTAAGAAAAAACTACTAAAAACAAAAGGAGCAATTTGTATGATAGTAAGTGATTTTCTAGACTGATTACTAGGAGACATGCAATCACAAAAAATTAATTTATAATATGATTATGAGCTTTCTTAAATAAAGAATTAAAATAAAAGAAATTTGTGAAATATTATTTTTTTAGCGAAAGTTTAATAAAGATGTTAAGGAGATGATCTAAACTGCGATTTTGTGTTCTATGATAATCATTATTTTTTTTTTAATCAAATTTGTCACCAAGTCAAACAAAATCAACACATCGAATAAAATTTGTGTTATCATGATGTTTTAAATTGATTTGTTTATCATGCTACAGTTGAATGAATTTAAAAACGATGAGGTTTAAAAAATGTTTTCAATCGTCAAGTCACACAAGTTAAAATAATACAACGCAATATATATATGAATGAATGAATGGGTGCAAACGTAAGAAAAGACAATAAATACAATGAAGATAATATTTTGGAGGAAATCATGATAATACAGTAAGAAAGGCGGATAATAATTTGAGTTATCAGTCAAATGGGTGTCACTTCTTATGAATTATTTATTTATAATATATATGCTCAATTTATATATGTTTGAATCATATCAAACTCAATTATACTCTTTTAAAATCGTATAACTTTCATTTGTCATCTTCATTTTTTTTTTACATTTATTGAAAAACTTTATAAAGCACACCTTGCAATCGCAAAATAAAAAGTAAAGAAATTCATTCAAAAATTTTGCATTCATCACGAGCCTTTTTTATGAATGACTTAAGTTGAAATAGCTAAGATAAATCTCGGTCATTTCTTTATTTCCATTCATATTCTTTATTTTCTTAGCCATTTGATATTGTTCTCTTACTAGCTGGTGCTATAAATCTATTTTACATCTTGGTTTAAATTCTTAGTATCATAGTCTATTTTATATGATTTGTGATGTGATTTTTTTTAAACTAAAATCAGTGATGTGTAAGAGTGATACTTTTTGCTTAAAATTTAAAATAGTATAAAGTTCTCAACCCCTGAAAACTGAATATATTCATAAAAATTCAATTAGATAAACGATAGAGCATGTCATGACATCTATAATATCTACATGTTAGTCGTCATCGACCTATATGCATACATACATTAAAGTTTATTCTGTTCATTGCCCATAACGATGAACTTTTCCTTTTCTATAGTTTTTTTCTCTTTTTTCTTCTTCTTGAATGTCATCTTTATTTTGCTCATTCATGTTAATCTTCGCTCCGTTCTTACTATTTTCCTTTTCACTACACTTAATAAATGATTGTCTTTCATTATACAATTATACTGTGGCGTGACAGTTTTGTTACTCCACTTTGTAACAACTGCTATGGTTATTACCTTTTCGAAGTTTTGATAGATAAAACTTTCTTATACTGAACTTTGACTTGTTGTCTCTTTTTGTAAATAACAGCTCAAAAGTAACCCTGTTGATATATGCAAATGACCAAATTCGTTATTTACTAATTCTATTGAATTTTAAAGCTTAAGATATAACAATTTACTTGCAAATAGATCTCAAACTGCTCATATTCCAACCAAAAAGCTTTTAGGTTTCATATCTAATTTATTACTTTTTACTTTATGTCCCATCTCCAGGGATTTTTTGTTATTGCCGCTCTGATATTTCAATTTTTTCATTCAGATTGATGACGATAGCAAAAGAATGAAACATGGAAGAAATCTTGAGGAGAAAAAATATTATTCACATTTGTAATTTATGCGGACGATGTAATAACAGAGATAATTTAATGAAATGATAGGTCAAGCTTATTCTGTGTCATATTTGAGAAAAAAGTAAACGATACAAAAAAAAAAATGTGGGAAATATTACTTTACCACCAGAATTGTTTCATTTTAATAATAGGTCCTATCAACCTTACATTTTTTAGAATTTGTGCTTTAAACATTTTGTCATAAGACTCTTACATTTGAGCTTTTGTAAATGAACTTTTCAGCATGAACATTTTAGTATCCTTTTTTAAATATTGAGAGACCAATCTGAGTCAACTGCTCTGAGATTTATATTTTTTACTGTCCATTTGTGCCTGACAACACTATTATTCTCTTTCGATTTATTATATTAGTTTCGATTGCAACTTTTCTTGAATAGTAAAATAGTGTCGAGACTTCTTTGTTCTCTTTTTACAACTAAAGATTTTGTGCTGCTTTAAAAAAATTCTATTTCAACTTTCCATAAAATTAACGATTTTCATTGAAAATTTATTGGAAAAATAAATTTTATGTCAGACAAATTGTATTTGTCAGTTTTATGGATTTGAAAAAAATGCATTTAAATTGTTGAGTGTCTTAAAAACAGATGTTGCATCTAGAAAACGAATTAATTTTTTAGATTACCTTTTTGTGATTTTTTTATGAATGAAACTTTTCATTAATAATAAAGAATATTTGAACAAAAACATTCCTCTTGAATGGTGCGTGTTTATTAAGGACGAAAATTACTCAAAATAAAAAAAAGGTCAACATCCTTAAAATAATCGCAAGGAAACATTCAACCTCATTCCTTCTTATTTATTTTACGCGTTATTTAACCTCCCATATGTACTTTTAACATAAATTGGTATGAATTCAAATTGAGCTCAACATTTAACGCATCAATCAAAGTCTATTCTTTATCCTAACAATCCAATTTTGAAAATGTATAATTATTGAACAGAATTATTGCTTGTGAATATTTGTTATTATTAAGAATAATAATTTTGTTGAATACAACTTAGTCGGAGAATAAATTCAAAAGGTTCCAATTTTTTTCCCCGTATTCTCTTAATGCGTACTTTTTTTCAATTGCAATGGTATACAAATAAATAAGATACTAATTAAAGCTCCAAAATAATTTTTAATTTTTAAACTTTTTTGACGGGTGAACCCATGAGACCCCCCTCTGGCTTCAACTTTAAAATGATATTTCATATGTTTTCTATCGAGCACATGAAAACAATATTCACCATATTATGGAATAAATATCTCCATTTGTAGCTGCAAGAATTTTTAAATTAAGATAAATTAAAAGAGTTTTGATGATCTTAACCATTCTAGTGATATTAATGCTCATTACGGTATCCATTATCAAATTCAGCGTATGAAAATGAAAACTTATATTTATGCAGCTGACAAGAAATGAAATTGAAAGGAAAATGGTTTGCATGTGGAGTTAATTTTCTTTAGAAAAATGAGAGTAACCCAATTTTTTGAACTTTTCTTTAAATTAAAGCATTGTTGTTTCTAAAAAATAGTTCACTATAACACAAAAGTTTCTATCAACAGCAACAAATAATGCATATAGTGTAAGCCATTGAGGAACATTAAAGCAAGCTTTTTCATTACGAGATGTGCTCGTTGGGAAAATGGAAATGATGGTGTTTTAGGCTAAAAAAAATCATCTATGCTCATTTGCATTTTCTCTTTCTTGTGTTTCTACCTTTACTTTTTAAACATCTCAGTAAAGAGGATTTAAAGTTGTTTTAATCTTTTTACTTATTTTCTTTGGTTTTATGTCCCAGAAAATGATACGGATTTTCTAAAGATTTTACAAGAGTTACGTTAAAAATTTGTTCTTATGGAAAATTGTGTATTAAAAATTTATGTAACACAAGAGTTTTTATACTTATAAAGGATGGTGTGAAAAAACAGAAAAACTATTTATTTTAAAGCCATTTACAGATGATGTGTGAATTTAAGATGTCACTTTATTAAGTTCCAAACAGCTCCAGATTTATAT